TTAGCTTAGATGATTTCCAGGTGACTGGATGAAGAACTATAAAGGTTTATGGAATATAGAAAGAGCAGATTGAGGCCACAGGAAATTGATGAATTCTGAGCCAGACTTGCTGCATTTCAGGTACTCATGGGACAAGTAGAGAAGCTTAATATGCAGATAAATATATCAGCAATCAGGGAGGGTTTGAGGTAGGCAGTAATTAATTTTATAGTACTTGGGACTACCCTCTCAAGTCTTAGGGACATGGTTAAGACCAAGGGTGGTATATAGCTTTCCTAGGGCTGCCACAACAAATTACCATGAACTGGGTGGCCTAAAACAAATTTATTCTCTCTATTCTGGAGGCTAGAAATCTGAAGTAAAGTATCAGCAGGGTTTGTTCCTTCTGGAAGCTCTGAGGGAGAACCATGCCTCCATGCTGCTGACTCCTGGCGTTCCTTGGCATATGTGCATAACTCCAGTCATTGCCTCTGTATCCACATGGGTTCTCCCCTGTCTCTGGGTGTCAAGTCTCTCATTCTCCTTTCTCTTATAAGGATGCCAGTCATTGTGTTTAGGGCCCACCCTAAATCCAGGGTTATCCCACCTCAAGATCCTTAACTTAGTTACATCTTCAAAGACCCTAATTGCAAATGAGGTCACATTCACAGATACTGGGGGTTAGGACTTGCATATATCTTGATGGGAGGTGGGGCTGGGGGTAGGGGATGCAATTCAACTTATTTACAGGTGATTTCCAGTTTGTTTGTTTTTCTCTCTCTGTGTATGGCAGCCATTAGTAGTAATTCTTTCTTTTTAGAATTTATCACCTCCAAAATCAGACTTTTCAGTTTGTCCCTTCTCTTCTGCCCCTGAAAATATATAGAAGAGGCCTTTAGAAAAAATTAAAACTTTGAGAAGTATTTTGGTAATAATGGTTAAGAAGAAACACTGAGGCATAAAAACATCAAATTGTGGTAAATTTAACAAAGTTACAGAATCTCACAAATTTCTCACACTGATGATTCCTAACTGGCCTTTTCCAAATCTCATCTGGCATGTTAAGGGGAAGTCATATTGACCTTTGCCCTTTAATTCCTTCAAGATTGAGGCTCACCCAACCTCTCCAACACAGATACCCTCTCAGCTGAGCCTAACTTTAGATGCAGTTGCTGCCTAAATTTATAATGAAGGCAGAATAAAATGTATCAGGTGACCACTGGGGATCTCTTCAAACTCTGGTAGGCTGCCTCCCATTTCATGGGACCTCTTTACTAACCAAGAAATGGCATCCACCCACAGATTCATCATAATAGTCAAACCCATGTAACATGAGTGCTAAGGACGTGCACATCGAGATAATAAAAAAGAAAAGAGAGGAGTTAACAATTTTTGCTGGCTGCCTCCTCAGATACCAAGCACTGTCTACTCCTTCACATTTGTTATTTCATTTAATTCTTCTATCAACCTTACACTTATTTCCTAGATGAGGGAAATGGAAACGTAGTGAGACTAAGCATTAAAATTTGTCAAATATCACATTTACCCAGAAGTGGGATCCTAGCTCCATCTGAATCCAATCCTCAAATTCTACTTATTTTACTATGCTGCTTTGTAAATAAAGTGTCAGCTATTGAATAATTTTATGGACCATTTATTATGATAAGAAGCTGTATTAACTCGCTTAATCTTGATGTTTGTTTTATCTAGTGAGTGTTATCCCCATTTAACCAATGAGATGATTGAGACTTAGAAAGGTAAAATTAGGTGTGTAATTTATATAGCCAGTAAGTGGCAAAAGTAGGATTTTAATTCAGGTTTGCCCAACTCTAAAACGCATACTTTTCCCAACCAAGATTGGAACTTTAGTCCAAAATCTAAGAAGCAGGTGAAGAAAGGATCCCAGGCAAGGATCTGAAGATAGAGGAAGCAGTGAGGAAAAAGGAACCAAGCAACCATGCTATGATGAGGAAGAAGGAAGGAGGGAGTTTCAATAGTGAGAGGCTGGTTGGTCAATGCTATCATTCCTCAAGGAATGGAAATGCCCCTTGGATGTGGCAACTCAAAGACCAAGGGCAACAGAAACAAAATTGTAGTGGGAACCAAACAGTTAGGAGGAAATGGGAGAGTATGAGATAAAGCATCTTTGAGAAGGTTGATATAGAAGGTAAAAAGAGAGACAGGGTTGGAAAGAAAAAACAAAACAAAGTTAACGGAGGGACTTTATTTATTTGTTTTAGGAGAAGAGGGAACCTTAAATACTTAACAAGTTGAGGTGGTAGAGATGGAAGAGATGATTAGGTAGATGACATTCTCCAATAATGAGAATTATTATTAGAGAAAATAATGAAGAGTATAGAAATCTAGTACTCTAGAAGGGAAGCAAAGGGAAAAATGGCTATAAATGGAGATAGATTTGAAGCTATCAGAGGATAGGAGAAAGGATGAGGGCAGGAAGGTAAGAGTTTACCCTTACTGGTCTTTCTAAAATCAAAGGCAAGGCCATTTGCTGAGAGACAGGGAGTCAGCAGGGGTTAGGATTTGGTGAGTGTCATAAGAACAAGATATAAATAACCAGCAAACAATCCTATTGAGATTGAATGTTGTAATAGGTAAAGGGCTTTATGATTTAACATTGCAGATAGAAATGTTAAAATTTCCTATAGCACAACTAAAACTCAAGAATCTCTAAAAGCAAGAATGTATATTTCAAATTGAACCCCTATTTCTGCATGCACACGAACACACACTTTTGAAAATAGCCATTGCAGAATGAGGGTCTATCAGTTACCCTCATAATAATTTGCATTCCTCTTGCATGTATATTAATCACTTTTCCTACACAATGTTATCTTGGCAGTCCCTAAAAAGCATAAAGAATTCATGCTTTTATTCAACTTCATGTGCCAAACCATTTCAAATATATTTGTGTTCTAGAGAAGCTAATTAGACTACATAGAAGCTAAATAGTCTACAAAAATGCATGGTGCCAGGTTGTATATAAACAAGAGGTTAGAGGATAGGAAAATCAGGCATATCCTCATAAGATCTTACTAAATGAACATATCCCAAGACAATTACTATCATATAAGAGCTGTATTTCTTTCTAGAGTAATGTTCATGAACAGAATAAGTTCAAGAATATTACATTAAAAAGGTTGTGCAGGAGAACCAAGTCAGAATGTCGAGGATAATATAAGGTTAAATACAATCATCTTTTATAGTAAATATTAACCCTAAAGATCTGTCCTAAGTCTAAATAGTTGTTTTCAATTCATATTGCGTTTATAGTTAGCAGGGATGTTTTATTCTTTGAATAAATTCCAATAAATTTAGCTCTGAACAGCAAAATATATAATCACTCTCAAGGTTCCCCTTTTTTTGCCTACATTGGAACTTTTCTTTCTGCCTAAAAGAGATCAGAGGACCAAGTCTGGTCTGTGCATAGTAACTGGGGAAAAAGCATGGATCATTTAGAAACCTGCCAGCACTGAAGCGCTGCACTAATCTGACATCGGTTTCTTCAATAGAAATGTTTAAGCAGCAAGAAAATATTCTATGTTTTTTGGCAATCAACAGATCAGATAGAAGAGTCTAGCAATACAAAGAGGATGTGTAATCTGACATGATTAGACAAGGCTCTTTAGTACCAGAACATTCATAATTGAGACAAAGAAAGAGTATTAATAACACTTTCCTAACACGGCAGTTAGCCATTTTATATTTCCTTTCTTTAATCTTAGTGTTTTTCAACAAATCATGGGATTTAATAGCGTGTTTTGGCAGATTAGAGGATTTATGGCCCAGATGTTTTTTGTTCTAAAAATGGATTAGGGTGTAAAGTTTGCTGGAATCCATGGAACATGTTGAGGCAAGCCGGTCATTTTATGTGTGATTAGTGCCTGCCTTCTGTCTCACAGTCCCTCCATCTGTCACAATTCACCAATGGATCTGGTTAGATTTAGCCTCATGTCACAAACAAGTCCCTTTTCTGGGCAATTTCATATTACAGATTCATTTTATGCCATTTTATGCCCTAGTTAAAAGATAGGGAGAGAGAAAGATGAGATATTAGCTTTTCTTTAAATATTTGCAGAACAATCTTTTCCCATCAGTATTCTACCCTAATGTCATGCAGATCATCATACTAATGTGCATCAGATAAATAAATGACCAGTGTAAGAATTAAGTTAAAAATTGTTTTTGCTCCTTACACCTGTTATTCTTTAAAAATAATATTTGGCTAATGTGTTTTACTAACCATGAATTGTAGAGCTGCAGACACAAGCTGGTCATTTGACCATCTTATTAAGAGTGTGAATTAAGTGTGACTATAGTTAAGAGTAGCCACAATTTCATATCAAACAATTACAGGTGCTTGGTTACATTCTGTGCTTGATATTTAGCCCCTTAACTATTACAAGTTTGTATCCCATAGCAAACCACTGCCACCTGTGGTTTATTTCACCGTAAACGGATGTAGGGAGAAAATGCTCTTCTTTCAGTCAGTTAATAATGATCTACTTCTTCTGTATATAACAAACCAAATAGTGCTATACACACACTCTAAATTGACTTTTCTAATACTATAAGAGATTCAATAATCATAGTGATAATTATTAATAGCTATATCCTGTGGTAACATTCAAATGCTCCTTGTATGAAGAAAATAAAATATAGGTTTTATGTCTGCACTGCAAAATATTCAGATTAATAACGAAAACTTGTACTTAAAATTATATTTTAAATCTCTTTCCAAATATTTGGAAACAACCATATTTCACCTAAATACTATGTTTTTATTATAGATGTTTGGAAACATGTTTGTGTATGACTGTGTGAGTCAGTCATCAATTACTCATTCACTTATTCATTCATTCATTCTAGACAAATTGCATGGAGAAATTATTATATGCCAGTAACTAGCTTTTACACCCTAAAAAAGGTGATTTTTAAGGGTTAAAGGTTAGCCTGTCCATGCATTAGTACAAAACATATCTTTTGATCTGATGCGTTTTCAGGTTATTTAAATGACCATGATGCTGTCACCAAGGCAATCCAAGAAGCTCGGCAGATGAAGGAACAACTTCGGCGGGAACAACAGGTGCTTGATGGGAAGGTGGCTGTTGTGAATAGTCTGGGTCTCAATAACTGCCGGACAGAAAAGGTCAGTTCATAAAATAACTTGCTTTCCAGAAATGCTTAATAAAGTTTCTTGAATGCTTTTGTTTTTTATCTTTCCATCTTTTTGCCATCCTCAGAATGATGATTTTTTTTCCCTCTCCTTTTTCCCTCCATCAGTACAGAAGGCCCCATGCCCATCCTAATCAAAACCATCTGGAAATGGGAAGAGTTATAATTCTCTTTATCCAGTGAATATCCCCCTTTATGCCACCAGCTTGTATTAAAATGAAATGGCATTTGAAATATCTGAGTCTGAGTAAAAGTTTTGCTTTACAGAGATGCTTAACTTGTATTGGGGATGAGCTGGATTTGAAAATGCTGAATCTTCTTTAATCAGCATAAGCTTGGATGATACCCATGCTCATATTCTAAGTATTTAGGATCCTGAGCTTGTCATAATGTTTCCAATGCAGAGTGCTGTCAAGTGTCGGGTGACTGCACAATTGAAAAATCTGACTTCTTCCTAAAACAAAATGTGCCTTTTAAAACTGTGACATTATCCTTATACCTAAATGAAACTTCTGAATTTGACTGAGATCTATAATGATTTCAAGCTCTTTTGTCTAAGTGCATGTTGTATTTAATTAAGAAAAATATTATGAGTTATTTTAGAATGCTCAGAATCATGTGCTTCCTTTGGTAATATTTGATATGTTTTGAAGTGAAATTTGCAAGTGTTTCCAAGTCCCCTTTGCACAATCCTATAGATAAAGTAGAGGAGAGAGAGAAAAAAAGTGATCAGCTACTTAGCAGTAACTTGAAAGTTAATCATCATGGGACGCTTCTGAGTCAAACAACTGCCCAGAATGAGCAGATTGCTAACTTGGAGAGCTTTCTTGTTCCCAGGTTTTTATATGGAGTTTGATGTCTAATCGCTGAGAAAGCTGGCGATCTGTGTAGTGAAGATGAAATAATGTATGGGTGATCCTGTTGCAACTGCTTTTTTCTCTGGTCCTAATGTGGGTAAAAATTTAGGTTGGAGAAACTATTTTAATTCCGTTCTGTGTCCAGAGGGGAGGGCAACGCGGGGGTCAGTATACACCCTTTGCAGTCTTACAACATGAGAAGTGTGACATTGGTGCGGTGAGAAGGGCACAGCATTTTTAAAGCCAAGCACCAAAAGGGAAAGGGAAAAGCAAAGTGACAGCTCTAAGAAGGAATGATAGCAAGCATAAAGGAATTTATATTCAAATATTTAAACATTCTTGAAAGGATGCTTGAACAGAAATTCCTTTTCTCTGCTCCCCATGTAGAAATGAGTTTAACACTCAGCCAGATGCTAATGCAAAGTGACTCAAGCTATTCCTCGCAAGCATAGCTAAATTGCCGTTATTTGTTAAGCGCATTGAATTCAGCTGTGGATACAGCAGTTGGTTGCATTCAGCAAGCATCTATACCCTTTTTTTTTTAATCCTCCAAAGCAGAGACAACTCTACCTATCCTCCCCCCCCCCCTTCCCCAGTGCTGGCTGGGAATTGTCAAGTGACAACCGACCAAATCCTTTCGGACAGGAAGCCTTCATCCTGAGTTCCATATACTTGCAAAACAGGCCTTGTGGTTGGATCAGGGAGCCCATTAAAAGCACTTTGATGGTATGGAAATTCATCTTCATGAAGCTCCTAGGCCCCTAAGCAGCATGCTGTTTAGCTGTGGTTACAGATCAGTCATTCACATTGGAGGGCAATAATTGTGCTGACGGCTTGTAAGGCAATGGAAGTACATAAAATAATCCCGGGCCCTCCACCATGGCACTGTGAGTTAATCTTCTCTAATACAGATCAGCTGTTGTTCTAACACATGACTTTATGCTGGCTCCAGTGACTCTGCACAGCCTTTTGATTAAGCAACAGGAGTGGAACCATCTGCATTCACTTTATTCCATACTTATCCATTGTTTAGGGGACCTTTCTTCCACTTCTTGTTCCACCTCCAAAATCATTCTTTATTTTATTTTTCTCTGATTAGCACCTCCTATTTGGGTTGCAGGAGTGAGAGTTGCCTCTGTTGAAAGCTACTGCATCAAATTTCCTTTCTCTTTTGTAGAGTTATAACAACTTTTTTTAAAAAAAAAATCTACTTTTTAAATAATACCTGCCAAACCTATGGCCAATTAAGGTGTCTCTAGTCTCAAGAAGTTTATCATTCTCAAATCTGTCCACCATACACTGTCAACGTAGTTGAATTACACCTTGAACTATAGTCTTGTGCTTGTATGCATTTTAAGTGAAAATATTAAACTTGAAAATGAAGCAGTTCTGTTACTATAATAGTATGACAAACTCTTATAATGTGTAAGTGAATGTTTTCAACCAAAGGATCTGAATTATCTCAACTCTTATGTTACTCTGACACCTGAACATGAAATTGAGATTATTGAAGCAGGTATTACTATAGTGTGTGGTTGACTTTTCCTATTGCACTAGCTTAGGTGTCATTTCTACAGCATTAGCGATTGATCTCTGTGCAACTCATGGGAATGAGATAGTAATGTCATATTTATATCTTTGAATTTGTAATTATTCAACATTAGCACTTACCATGTATTAGGGTGTGTGCTGTGTACTAGAGGTATTGTATTGAACCAGAAAACATGGGCTATGCCTTCATAGAGCTTGTAGTATAGGTCAAGTTATTTGATAGTTAATAATTGCATATTGATGTGTGAGAGCTCACCTACAGAGATTGAATAAAGACCCATATTGCTTAGCATATCAGACCAATTATATATGTGAGTTCACAAAGGTAGGTAATTATTCTTCCACGTGAACCAACATCACTATGCATATTGTGGTGTCATTTTTCTAGTACGTACCTTTTCATTTGAATTTTATAATCACTGAGCATTACCTATGGCCAGTGCATGTATGGATCAATAATCGGTTTGAAATTTTGCTTCCTAGCTCTTAATGAAAGCCATAAACAACATATGATAAAATCCTCTTGTATTTTGCACTATGATCTTCTCGTATCATTTGAATCCCAAAAGAAGGGCATTTTTCTATCTAAAATAATACACCTAACTCCTTCAGAAAGTAGGTGAAACGTAAGGAATGGGGGAGATAAAGCGGAAAGAAAGATGGAAGGGAGCCAGGAGAAAGGAAAAGGAAAAAGGAAAAAAAAATCAGCCCAGTGCTTTTTATTAGTCTAAAAGATAATAGATATGATGACCTGCGATTCAGATAATTGGAATCTTGTAGTAGAGACCCAATTTCTTGGGTCCACCAACTTAACAGACATTAACTTGTCCTCACATCTCAGATAACCAACATGGGTGTCCCAACTAGAAGGTCTTAATTCTGAAAAGCTGTAATTGGACAGTGAAAACAATTAGAGGTGTGAAGATGGGGACAAATGTTTTCCCAGTGATATGTACCAAAACACATCATGAAAGTCGTTTTTACTGAAACACATTTTAATTGAAGACTTCTAAAAGATTTTTTTTTTATTTCTTTACTTTTCTTGGAAGAGTTTCAACATACCCAAGAACTGTGTGTGTCAGGTTTCTTGGAAACTCTGGGACACAGTGTTATTTATAATTGTCATCTCTAGTTAATTATAGACTGATTGTATATTCAAATAATGTTATCTTTCACCACACAGCTCTGTTACAGATTAGTGTTCTGGATGAAAAAGTAAACTTCTCAGGTAGGAAGTAATAGAAAGAAGATTTTTCATACATTTGTTTTGTAAAAAACAAACAAACAAAAAAACCCCACACCCCATTTGCTTTGTTAATAACCACATGGCACGATTTTGTCCATATAATCAACTGTATACTAGGTTCTTAACCTTGTACTTGAAAGTATTCATACCTTATAGGAGAGCATAAAAATCTCATCCTGATCCGACCAGGCAGTGCTGATACAATAGAGGCCCAGTGTACTCAGTTGAAATGAGGAATAGACCAGAAGTTCTCCAGCCTACTCCCCTCACTCCAGATGTGGTTATCCTCAGAAGACTATTCCTATACTGTAGTCTCTGTTAGAAAATGTATTTCACTGCATGCATCAGGAAATCTAAATGCAGTAGTTTAAACAAATAGTGTTTGATTTTTCTTACATTGTGAAGTTCAGGAGTAGGAGAACTTCTACGGTTCATTAACTCTCAATTATATCAGAGTTGAAATCCCTGTGATTCTTTGGGTTTTTTCCCTTTGGGTCACAGAATGGTTGCTACACCTACAACTATCCCATCCAGGTGAAGGCAGGCAGATTCAGGAAGGAGAAGTTTTCTCTTTGCTAACTTCATTCTTCATTCCTATAGGGATGTTTCATTCCTCTTCTCAAGTTGACTTCCACAAACATCTCATTGGCTAGAAGTAGGTTCAGCTGTTGGGTAAGAAAAGGCAATTGTCAGCCACATTATAAAAATGATATCCAAGCTCACAAATGCTTCCTTCATGAAACTAGTTTGTTTTGTTTGTTTTATAATTGTTGCTATCTCTCTGTCTTTTGCACTTCCAGTATCTCATGTCCAGGGCCTTAGACCTTGTCTGGGATTCATAAAGAATTAAACAACAAACATGTGCACAAGAAAACATTGTTTGATGACAGGTTAAATCTATGAAAGTGTGTTCACACACATGCTGTATACGTGTTAAGACTGACTTCTGTATTGCTTTTCTTATGTAAAACAGATGTCACTCACAAAAATAAGCATGCAAATATATGCATATATTTCTTAAGGTAGGGAATTTATTCACCAAACATTAATTGCCTACAGTGTACCTAGAATATAAACAGGTATGCATACTATGAATTCATCTCTAACTGTAAATAATAGCTGGGAAAAAATGTCTTACTTTTCCTTCTGAGCTTCAGCAAAAATTCTTTGCAGATTTCTATAAAATAAGGTGAAAATTTGGTAAATGGCATGTTCATTTTAAATAAAAATTTACTCAATCGTGGCACCAGTTTCTCTTCTTGATTATTTGCCAGTCATATTCATAAGAAGCCTTACCACAGATTGTATAGGCTGGTTGTAAACAAAGGT